CCACAAGGCTGGTTCATCCTTGGGAGCAATTTCCAAACCCCTGAAGGTACCACGTTCATCTGTACAAACAATAGTACGCAAGTATAAACACCTTGGGACCACGCAGTACTTTGGTGCGAAAAGTGCAAATCAATCCCAGAACAACAGCAAAGGACCTTGTGAAGATGCTGGAGGAAACAGGTACAAAAGTATCTATATCCACAGTAAAACGAGTCCTATATCGACATAATCTGAAAGGCCGCTCAGCAAGGAAGAAGCCACTGCTCCAAAACCGCCATAAAAAAGCTAGACTACGGTTTGCAACTGCACATGGAGACAAAGATCGTACTTTTTGGAAAAATGTCCTCTGGTCTGATGAAACAAAAATAGAACTGTTTGGCCATAATGACCATCATAATGTTTGGAGGAAAAAGGGGGTTGATGCAAGCCGAAGAACACCATCCCAACCGCAAAGCACGGGGGTGGCAGCATCATGCTGTGCAGGAGGGACTGTTGCACTTCACAAAATAGATTGCATCATGAGGAGAGGAAGGACAATTATGTGGATATATTGAAGCAATATCTCAAAACATCAGTCAGGAAGTTAAACCTTGGTCGCAAATGGGTCTTCAAATGGACAATGACCCAAAGCATACTTCCAAAGTTGTGGCAAAATGGCTTAAGGACAACAAAGTCAAGGTATTGGAGTGGCCATCACAAAGCCCTGACCTCAATCGTATAGAAAAAAAGCTGAAATAAATAATTCTCTCTACTATTATTCTGACATTTCAAATTCTTCAAATAAAGTGGTGATCCTAACTGACCTAAGACAGGGCATTTTTACTAGGATTAAATGTCAGGAATTGTGAAAAACTGTTTAAATGTATTTGGCTAAGGTGTATGTAAACTTCCGACTTCAACTGTACATACACTGGCTGTATCCCAGTATGTTATATAAATCATGTTTATCAGCAAAGGAGAAGAATTTGCAATTCAACATAAACTCACAAATTAGTTTGAACGTTATCACAAACACATCTGGGAGAATATATATGTATTGCAGAGCAATTTTTTTACATTTTACATTTTAGTCATTTAGCAGACGCTCTTATCCAGAGCGACTTACAGTTAGTGAGTGTATACATTTTTTTTTTTCATACTGGCCCCCCGTGGGAATCGAACCCACAACCCTGGCGTTGCAAACACCATGCTCTACCAACTGAGCTACATACAGTGTAGGCCTACTGAACAGTGGGGCACCACATTGCACTGAATAACTGATGTTAAACTGGAAGAAAGCTTTACATGTTGCCAGTGAGAAACATAATTAAACACTTTTTTGTTAAAGTTAATCATCAGTCCCCATTTGATTAGAAAAACCAATAGTTAATTAAAGAAAGAGTGTGGTTGATGGGAGGAGGAAGTGTATTGACCAGCGCTCCAATTTGATTCCATTTTAATGTAGCAAAACCAGAAAGATCAGATTTTCCACATTTTTACCTTCAATACAAGTAGGCCTATTTTGACCCAAGGTCAACAAAACACTTCTACACTTCCTTGAGCTTAAAATATCACATCTGTGTAAAGCAAATGATGAAGGAAAGGATATGAGGAGAGGCCTCTTTAGACTAATGAGACGCACCCTCCCAAAGAGTTTCTGTCTCCTCATATTCCCTCTCACCTGCAGGGCATAGTGCATTGTGCCAACACTGCGAAAACCATTAATCTCTCTTTGCCTGAAGGCAGCAGTTTAACTCAGACGAGAAAGCAGGAATTTCAGAGGAATAGTCCTCCCTGTATCAAAGTTAATACTCAGCCATGTCTTGCAGTAGACGATTACTTCTATAGTGTTAGCTAAATGGGCTGTGATACATCCACCATTAGTTATCACTAGGGCCACAACCATCACTAGGGACGTGACCAAGAAAACCTCTGGACATTAGTTATAGTGGTTATACAGTAGACTGTGTTATAGCCAATGCACTCCTCTAACAATCACAATCAAATGGTCTGGCACGAATGAGATCCTTAGAAGATCGCACCATCTATACAGTGCAGTTCTTATGATGACGTTTCCTCTGCTGTCCCTGTTTCAATGGCAGAGATCTCATTTTCAATATGTCACACCAGTCATTCAGCCGGAGGTATAGGCTTACGTCTCCCTGTCCCCAGCAGGAAGCAACCCACTCAGTTCTGTCCCCTTTATTGTTTTAATGTCAGATAACCGGCCGGCCAGCTAATTTAGCAGACCAATGGCCAGACAGCCCCTGGGTATAACAAGGAGCTGAGGATCCAATTCTATTTTCCAATATGGTCTTTATTGCAGGCAGAGTGAGTGTCAAATCGAGACACTCTCATATCCACACTGCAGGGGGCTAATGTAGAGACAGACGCAGGGTGCCGGAACCCGGGATGAATGGTGGAGACGGAGCTTATTGCATATTATGTTTCTATGGTGAGGGTGTTAGAGATGTGTCAGTGGATCTGAAGGGGCAGATAATTAATCATAGATAATTGGAAATGGATGATCTGACATAGGGGAGAGTATGGACACAGAGGGTGGTCGGCTTTGACACTTGAATAAATGTTTCCGACTCCTAGATGCCACATAGGCAGTTTTCAAAATGAGAAGTTGCTTTTTAGGGGTAGTCGCTCTTTAATGACAATGCAATCACTGTATTTACAAAGGCAGCATATTAACAAAAATAAAAACATGTTTCCCCAATATGGGAAGTAAGGTGAAATAACCAGTTCCAGCGAATTACTGTTTTTAATTGCCCACTGGGTTATTGCCTATAATGGTCTGGTGGGGACTAGAGTTGCCTGCATAAAACAGTTGGCCTGTTGATGCAGTAATGAGGGAATGTAAGCAGTACACACATTGGAAACACATCAATCTCAATGAGTGAGAGTGTGTGTGTGTGTGTGTGTGTAGAAAGCTGAATATCTCCAGACAGCTAATAACAGAAGATGTTAAGAATGTTGGACTTATCTAAAGTCATAGGTCTGTGACTTCTTGAAAAAAACAAAACCCTGATACATAGAATAACCTACAAGGAAAACTATGATCTACCTGTAGATGTTTCATAAACTACCTCATCAGTACAATCTGCTTTCTAGGCTAACAAACATCATTCAACCATTGATTGGCAATCAAGTTCCAATGAATCAACCGTCATGTCCATTACCTTAACCAGGTATGAGGAAGACAGCTGAGGAGATATACTTCTTAGAAAGTAAAGAACTGTGGAAGACAGCTGGCACATCAGTGGTTACAGGTGGTGTCAGATATGTGTCTGTCATTGAATTCAATCAGTTCAAATCATTTAAATCACTTCAAACTCAATTTAATTATATTCAATTAAACTCAACTGAGTGCATTTTCTTTAAACCTTGAGCGTCCTACTCCTTCTGCTCTCATCATGGTGGACATCACCCCGTTGTCCCATGAGGTCACAGGAGTTCCATGACACTAGGTGGAGTGGTGACTGGTTGAGGACAGCCACTTCCCAACTTCCCATTCAGCGTCACACACAATGGGAATACTCCCTCTGGAGAAGACCCAGGGAATGTCGGGATAGGAGTCAGGATAGGTGTGAGATGAGGTGAGGACAGAGGCATGCAGAGGATTCAACACACATGCATATACAAACATAGTAAGCGCACACTCTCTCATACATGCACGCACGCACTAACAACTTCTGCTTTAGTTAAGTGCTCCAAACAAATTCAGACATCTTAAAGAAGCGATGAAAATGTGTTTTGAATAGTTCTTGAAATGCTACTGCAGAAGAATGCACCGTTTTCTCCCCTAATGCTAGAGGTCTGATTATGTCAATCTGACACGTCAATTACAAGGACAGGGCAGGATGTTCCTGTAGAGTTCATTGTTCCCAGAGCTACACCAGTAACACCACACACCTCATCTGACCTCAGCACTGGATTGGAGGGTGGATACCATACCAGTCGACAAGCAGAGGGATACTGAATCAAATTTGATTTGATTTTAATGTATTGCCCAAGAAGGCTATCTCAAATGTCACCATAAAGGATACGACACGCTCAGATGTTACTGTGATACCATGAACATGCTAGACTACGTAACGCTATACATTTTGTTTTTCTAACTTTACCGCATGGTGTGATGTGCATGTTGACAATTTTCTTTCAAAACATTTACAATCACATAATGTATAATCAAGAGACATAGCCTGACACACCAACCCTCTCACCATGTGTCCCCCCATAATCACCACCAATGTCACCTGTCTGAGTCACAGCCCACCACCCCTCTCTACAAGATGCCAAGACACCATGGGCACCAGGTGGCTGTGCGCCATCTCCATGGCAACCCTGCCTCCACACCCCAGATGCTCTGCAGGTGACAGACGGACGGTTGCCTTGGCGCGGCGGGGATCGGGCGCCAAAAGCCTGGGTACGGAGACGGACGGTAACACTCTAAACTCATTTAATCTCCCCATCAATCTGCCGTTTCTGATGGATGCCAAGTAATAATAATATAATAATAATAATATGCCATTTAGCAGACGCTTTTATCCAAAGCGACTTACAGTCATGCGTGCATACATTTTGTGTATGGGTGGTCCCGGGGATCGAACCCACTACCTTGGCGTTACAAGCGCCGCGCTCTACCAGCTGAGCTACAGAGGACCTGCTTTAATGATGGAAGCTGCTTTAAGAACAGTGAGTGACCTGTAGAGAAGTTTGGATCCAGTCCTGGATGTGATCGCTGCAGAGGGTGGAATAAGAGATGGTTACATACTGCCCTCTGGTGGAGACAGAAAATACCATACCGTAGCTTTATAGCGGGTATTATGGATGGTTTATGGTCTGTAATTTGTGATCATCACTTACTCAATGTTTGAATAAGTAGGAAGGAGAGGGTTTCTACTTTCTGTCAGAAGCATATCAATTAAATCACACTGTCCATGCTATTCTGTATCTATCAACATAATGGTCTATGAACACATAACATTGAAGTACAATATTATAATTCAAACTTACTTAAATAAAAATTACTTTTATTTTTTTTAAATAAATGCATTTTTTACAGTCTGAAAACAGCCGGCCATGCACTGCTGCTCTGGACATTGGAGGAAAACAAAAAACAACTGTTATAGGAAAGAACTAGGCTAAGTTTGCTTATTTTACTTCAGTTCATATACGGCCGTTTGTCTCAAACTCCAAGGTCTACTTCAACTAAAAGGGTCTCCTTCATACCAAAAACATTATTCAGTTAAAAGCTACAATAGTGATCAAATCTGAAAATGAAGTGATATATTTTTGAAAAGGCACTGAACAGCAGAGTAAGGGTTTGGCAGCCTAGGGATGTGTCATTGGTGGTAGTTTACAGAGCTAGAGAGAAAGATCAGTGCCAAATAAATGCAATAAAATATCCATGTAATTCAGCTTATAGGAGAGGCAACAAGAAAAAAGTACATTGAAAAGCACTTTTATCAATATTTCTGAGTAATAATAATAATATGTAGTGTGAGAAAAATCGTTGTTAAATCCCAACCAACCTGGAGTTTGAGACTAGCGTTTTCTTCATATAAATATATATATATATATATATATATATATATATATATAAATATATATATATATATATATATATAAATATATATATATATTCATTCATGTTAAAAACTCTATAAGACTAATAACATTGGCAGGCACATATTTTCATACTACACAACGTTGACAAATGGCTTTCCCCCCCTTTTCTGGAAAGAAAAATACACAACAAGAAAAAAAGCAGCAACAAAAGAACTGTACAATTCTATAAAACCTGTGTTTTTACATTAGTTACAAAAAACTAATACTTCATTTAATGTTCGTTCATACTGAGGACAAAGAAAAAAGACTTTGCATAATTCATTCTTCAAACTTGGTGACCTATTGCTGGAGCGTAATAGTGAAAAGGGTACTGAACAATAACACTATACGGTGTACGATAAAGAATGGCAACGTAAAAGAGGCGGCAGCACTTGGGAACGCTGTTATTATTGGTAGTATCCCTCCAGCTGTACTACACATGCACAATGCAATTGCAAGGGTCTGAGTCTCAAGGCAGAGTCGAGGTCTTTCCGACATGCTGTGGACACCGGACAACACTATGTGGCTGGCAGCATGTATCTGAGCCAAATCATTTGGGCAACAATCTTTCATGGCACCACATATTCCATGACAATAACATTCTTATTTGCATTTTCAGTAATTGCCTCAGAACTTGCCCATGAAACCCATTAAAATTCCTTCTCAAACAGAGTATCCTTGAGTGACCCCTTCTAGATGATCACTGACACCTTCAACCTTGAGTGTAGCTATGAGAACAAGGCATGGTTATTCAGCAGTTTACAGATAAGAAACTACAGGACATTCACCCTGCTTGAGCTCCTGTTGTGCTGACATGTTAACTAATGCAGACAGAGAAGCGCTACTGTAGGTGTGTACCAAGGCTGTTTAAACTCTCCAAGCGCACTTATTAGCTGTTGTATGTAGTGTTTCACACAGATTACTATAGAGCTACTGAACACAGAGGATAGGAGACAGTCACTGGAGGTATGTTCAGACACAAAAACACAATGAAAAAAAACAACAATGAATTGAACTACTACAGCTTATTCATTAAGGGATCAGGTTACACTTTATTTGAAGTCCATCTATAGATGCTCTACAGACTATCAGTAACATTTCAACTAACTATCTACTAACCCTAACCTTAATCCTTATCCTAAACGTAACCATTACCCTAACTGTAACCTTAGCAAGCAGTTGCTTATCAATATAGCTTGTTGATAGCGTGACCAGCTGTAGAGCATCTACAGATGGAAAATCCGGACTATCCAAATAAAGTGTGACCAGGGATCACACATATACTGGAGAAGTGCTTACTGCCGAAGTGTGACTTCATATGGACTAGTTAGATCAAAGTGAAAATCCTTCATCGATGGAGAGGACACGGTGCCCAAGTCTCTCCATGACCTCTGGGTTCCTCAGCATTTCCTTAATGACGGAAGAAAATGACCTCATATCACTTCAGGTCTCTGCTGAGAAAGTAAAAGTGTGTCGCTGTTTTGCCGATACTCTTACTTTGATGATTGCTACTGCCTGTAGTTACACCAAATGGAGTAAATATGTGGATGTACAACACGTGAGAGTGAGGTGTCACTCTGCAGCATAAATTAGACAGAGTATCATATCACAGGATGTCAGGCAGTACACAAACAACAACAGGCCACTTCAAAGACTCCGAACACCACCACACCTCACCAAAATGACAACTTTAAAACCAGTAAACAAAACAGGGATAAATAAATAATGTGATTCTTCATAAGCACTGATACATGGTTTTGTTGTCTGGTCGGAATATGATGACGCCGTAGCTGAGAGGCTGACGGGTCAATTTGATCAGTTCCTTCAGGGGAGTCAGAGTAGAAGGGGAGGGGGGGGGGGGGAATTAAGAAATAGTCTTTGGAATGGAGTTGATGTCTCCTGATGACATGTGATAGGTTCTCATGGACGTAGCTTTGTGATAGCTGCTTGAGGAAAAGGCTGATGTCCCCAGTGCATTGGTGGGATGGGGGAGTGGAGAGCGGTCATGAAAAAATAAAAACTTTCTGTCAAATAATGTGGGCGATGGGGGGGCCACAGGCAGGGTTTGGAGTTAGTCTGGGCTGCAGCGTTGCGCAGAATATTAGTGTTTACAAAAACCTTTGTTAGCATTAATGCAACAACAAATAAAGGGTATCAGCTTCTTAACAACAATGGCGATAGTGGGCGGCCGCATGGGGCTCTAAAGCACGGTTCCAAAATAAAACCACCAAAAATATATAAGAAATAAAATAAACCTATATGATCTAGCCACCACCCTCCCTCCCCTCTTGACCCCAACCTCTGGCCTCTGGCCCAGGGGGTCAGGTAGTCAGACTCAGACCCAGCCGCTGGTCAGCTTGTAGAACATCTCCTCGTCCAGAGACTCGTTCTGGTCTTTGGCGCGCGTGGACAGGAAGATGTAGCCTCCGATGAACTCATGTACCACCTTACAGTCCACCTCCGCACAGATGAAGGCCAGGCTAGGCTCGTCTGCAAACTCCACCGTCACCTAGGGGCACAGGATGATCAGTCAAAACCATAGGATTCTACAATATTAATTTAGTAGAACAGAGATTATCCTTTTAAAATGTATTTACCATGTGAAATGCCAAGCTAAGATGATAAAGCTAAAACAAATGGATGGTAACTGTGTTCAGAGTATTGAATGCCCTGTCTTTAAAACTGTTTATTTTCTGGTCTATAAGCTGAAATCCATACCATCTTGATCTCCCAGTTGACATTCCACTGCTTCATGTTGGCGAACCTCCAGGTCTTGATGGCGTCTCCGGTGTTGGCGTCCATTCGGATGAGACGGTTGTAGGTGATGCCGATCAGCTCGTCCCTCTTCCCACCCTGGAATCTGAGAATGACAGAGAATTCGAAATGAGCTCACAGCTTGGGATGTGCTTATTGGAAGTAATAAGCTTATTGGATTTCAACCACGCATCTTTGAAATCTGACAATAAAATCTCTGTTAGCTGTAAAAGAACAAGCCCAAACACAGACAGAGAGGCAGATGGGCAGACAAAGAGACTTGGGGGAAGAGATCTGTTATTTCGATAAAGGAGTGTATGAAGAGACTCTGGAGAAGAGAGGGGGACTCACTTGGCCAGGAAGTGAGTGATGCCAAACTCAGGCAGGGACTGCCACGCTTGGATGAAGCGCATCTTGGCCTCGATCAGACTCATCTGGGCCACGTTCTGGTGGGCCTCTAGGATCCGGGCCGAAATCTGATGAACACACAACGAAAGACTGTTGAACACACACATCACAGACACAAACCACCACCACTCTGAAACCAAGCCCTAGACACACACCTGCACAGACATAGGTCTACTGTGCACACATGGCCCTGTCCTATAACCACCCTATAAACCCCCAAACCCAAAGACACACCTCCCCATAAATATAGGAAGGCACACAAGGTAACCAAACTAAAGTATCAACAAACATTTGAGATACGTGACCCTCCCCAGAGGCCAGTCTACTGGCCAATGAAGTGCCTCCCCACCCCGGTGTATGAGTCAGTGGGATGAGCAGACAGACAGATGAGCAGACAGACAGATGAGCAGACAGACAGATGCTGACCTGGGTCTTCAGGACACAGACTCACCACTTTACTATTTTAGCTTCACATTTAGAGTGTGTTAGTAGTTGAAGGAGAAATTAGAGGAAATGAGGATCGGACAAAACCAAAACACTAGCTAGCAATCACCCTTGACCAGGCAGTTTATGTTTTTCTAATGTTAAAGGTGAAACTAACTAACTATTGAGACTATGTTACAGATCTACTGATATGGTAAATCAAACATGGCCCGAAGACAAACCCATCTCCACTTACCAGGTCCCTGATATAGCCTGGCTGAAGAGGGAGGGAGGCAGGCAGGGATGGGAGGACAGTGCAAAAGGAGGGAAGAGAGAAAACAGAAAGAAAGAACAAAGAAAAACAAGCAAGTGAGAACAAGGCCTTTGAGCAAAGAAAACAGCTTCAAAACAAAGTAGCATAATCAGAACAGGCTAAATTAACAGGAGCATTTTGATCTCTTCAGGATCATGCAGCAGTCTCCATGGGGAGAGAAAGCAGCAGCAGGCTCCATGGGGAGAGAAAGCAGCAGCAGTCTCCATAGGGAGAGAAAGCAGCAGCAGTCACAGTCAGTATATGTCAGGGCAAACAGAGGGTTTACGACACAAATTATTACAAACTGATTTCATTGATTTACAAGTTTGAAACATTTCATTGGAGCTATTATGACAGTTAATGTTTGTTCTATTTTAGATTTAAGTAGCTACTGTACTGTACGGCAGGCCATTCATCTTGTGTATGCAATTCCCTTCATGTACACCAGGTGGGGACACATACCAAGGCATCACACAGCTCACCTAAACACCGCTACAGCCCTCTGCATTAGGTCATCTAGCAATATCCTGTTGTTTGTTATTGTGCCTGCCCAGTTTGCTTTCTCTTATGTAAAACTGTATGTTTGGCTAGGAAGTTAGGAATCCATCTAGCCTAACTCACAGTGATCTATAAATTCCTGTGCATATCCGCTGGGAATTGCAGCATGGAAGTCACATCGGGGGAGTCAGAGGACAGGAAGTCAAGTATAAAACATTTTTTTTAAAAGGAAAGAGCAGAGGCAGCACCTTGCAAGCCTCTTTCCCACAGCACAGCTGACTGACTGACGTAGTGGAAGGTTGACATTTATTGTCATGAGTCTTGTCATTGAGGCAGAACTGAGAAATGTCCACTTAGATAGGCCAGCTGCAAAGAAAAAAGTTGCTATATTGTAGAAATTCATGACATTCATTGTTCTGAATTTAAGGTTAGGGTTAGGCATTAGGGTTAGCAGTGTGGTTAAAGTTAGGTTTAAAATCAGATTTTATGACTGTGCCTGCTAGTGACCAATCTGCAAAGCTTCCTCCAGAACAAGATTCACGACGAAAAACATTGACCTGCGACTGAGTGGCTGACAGAGTGGCTTTTCCCAGCCTGGCTTCCCGCTCTGCATTCCCAGACAGGACTCATTTCCTGAAGCTCCCAAACAAACTCACACACACATACTGTATATCCACAAGCATACAGTACACACACACTCTCACATACACAGTTGCATGAAGAACACACACACACACTACACACAAACTTCCCTCTATGAACACACCGCCAGTTGCCCTCTCCAGGCAGAGATGAGTGTTTCATGTGGTGCCTTAGGGACATCCCCTGCCTGCCTAGCTGGGCTGGGTTGGAGCTCAGAGCCCCGAACTGAGATAGAGACTGGAGCTGGGCCAGAACCACAGCCCCATACAGACAGACCCGCAGGCCTGGGGAGAGAAGCTAGGAGGGGTGCTACTATGAGATCAAAGGGGAGGCCCATTTTCTCTCACACACGCACACTACACAGACTATACACACACCTATCCTGTTTTGGGCAGCAATGCAGAATAAACCAGTATGTCTCCTTTTCTCCTTTTTTGGGACAGAAACACCATTCCAGTGTGATCCAGCAGACACGGTAATGACTGTTTTTAGGATGTCGACCCTGGATAGACATTTCCTGTTTGATGAGTTTCCTCTCCTCCCTTCGCACTCACACACTATGAGTGGTCTTTCCCTATGCTCTTTTTCTAGACGACCCAGATTCACATCAGGCTGAAGTTATGGTTACAGTCCAAACCCAGACTAGTATAGAGTCATCACTTAACCACCACACACCAAAGGAACTTCCCGCTTTTCCTATTCAGCTTAATCAGAACCACATTGAGTGAGTAAGCACAGGAAGACCACTCCCCCTCTCATTTGTACCGGTTTACACGTCAGCCTGTTATTTACATGGGAATTTGCTAAGTACAGAGCACAATTTTCCTGTAACTTAAATGTAAATGAATCTCTGCCTATGAGGGCCTAATGCGTAAATGTGACTTCTCGTCATTGGTTGGCTTTTGGTGGTTTGTTTCGGAGTTCTCATTGTGACAACTCCTTTAGGTTGCGTCTCTATTTCTCTGGCTGTGTCTCTCAATAACCTTTAGTAATATATTAGTTTCCTCTTTTTCCTTCGAGTGTAAACGGTGTGAAATGGCTAGCTAGTTAGCGGGGCGCGCTAGTAGCGTTTCAATCGGTGACGTCACTCGCTCTGAGACCTTTAAGTAGTTTTTTCTCTTGCTCTGCAAGGCTCGCGGCTTTGGTGGAGCAATAGGTAACGATGCTTTGAGGGTGACCGTTGTTGATGTGTGCAGAGGGTCCCTGGTTCAAGCCCCGGTTGGGCCGAAGAGAGGGAGGGAAGCAATACTGTTACATGAGCACAGATATGGCAGGACATGGATGGGTGAAAATAACATGGTGGACCTCTATCCAGTCAACTAGCTTCCTTTCAGAGGTAATGACGGAAGGGAGATGAGGGAAGGAAGCTGATTAGAGTAAGGAGATATCATTTGAGCTTGACTTGTGGCAATCCTTCCCTTTAGACTGCCGAGTGCTTGGTCTGCTGTCCTGGGTTCCCCTTGGAGAGGGAAGGAGGGAGGGATAGAGGGAGGAGGAGGGAGACTGCATTCCTGTGCAGGACAACCCAGATGCCAGGAGGCACCCCAGGCCAGCTGGGAAGTATCAGGGGGGTAAACAACAACCTCCCCCTTGAACACTGCTCTGCCCCCCTCTTCCCCCTCCATCTCTCTCCATCCGGCCTCCATGGAGGACCAAAGGCTATCCTTAAACCTTCACCTGACTAACATCAACTCATCTGAACATGATTAAGGATTGCTTTTTGTTGCCATAGCTTTTGTCAGTTCACTGGTAGTGTAGCAATATGCATCAGTCTGCATGTGTATTTGAATCCAGGGAGTGATGGTCCAAACATCTATTGTCTACACTGATGGGGTCTCCTCTCCACACAGCCCCTGGCTAGTTACCTGCTTGTTCTTGTACTTCTTCAGGTAGCGCGGCGACACCAGGCACTCAGAGTTGATGTCGTTGGTGACGGCTGGCTCGGCGATGAACTGGGGGTCAGGGTTCATGTGCTGCATCTTGAGGAAGGACAGAATGTTCTGGACCTCCAGGTTATAGGAGCTGTCTGCCATTGTCTTCCCCTTAGAGGCCAGGCGGCACGCTGCCATCCAGTGGGCATACGGCTTCTCCTGCATGGGGAAGGAGGTGGTGGTGGTTATGCTGAGGCCAATGATATGCAAGGCTTTTCATTAGGTCCTAGAGTACTTTCCGTTGTATGTGGTAACTGCAATATTCTGCTCATTTTCACCTACACTCCAACTATTGACACAAATCTGATCATTCTTAATATGTTTCTAAGCCGCTTTTAAATGTAAAACCATGAGTAAATATAGGGCGGCAGGTAGCTTAGTGGGTAAGAGCGTTGTGCCAGTAACCGAAAGGTCGCTGGTTCTAATCCCCGAGCCGACTAGGTGAAAAATCTGCCGATGTGCCCTTGAGCAAGGCACTTAACCCTAATTGCTCCTGTAAGTCGCTCTGGATAAGAGCGTCTGCTAAATGACCCCAAAAAAAAAAAAAGTAAATGTATTGCATTCTTGACATTGTGACAGATGGTCCTCCATGCAGCTAGAGGAAGCCAGAGAGCCACACTCACAGCGTCACACCGCAGCCAGATCTCATTCATGCCATCAGCCACCGGGATTAGCAACTTGATGTTGAATTTCTGACTGGAGATGTTCACATCTGGTGTCACCTCGCAACCTACAAAGACAAGGAAAAGTTCACAGAGGAAGGGGACGCGAGGGGGTCAAAACCATCCATCACACACCACTGGGGATCACACACACTTAGGTCATAAAGGAACCGTTGCCTTCTTCAGTGTGTGTGTGTGTGTGTGTGTGTGTGTGTGGTCCTGGTACCTCTTAGATTCATTTGGAGGGAGGGCGTCCCATGAGCCTCCTCTTTGCTCTTGTAGCAGGAAATTGTGATGTCCTTGAACGTGCACCAGTACTGCTTGTAGCCTTTCAGTGTCAGTTTTTTTGGCCTGGAAAATACATAGAAGAGAGAAGAAGAGAGGGAGAGGTAGAGAGAGAGAGAGAAGAAGAGACAAGGGTGGTTGTCAGTTCCTGCTTGAATCACAAAACACATAGCTTAGCAACACTAACCCACCCCCAGACACCAAGAGGAGAGAACCATCAAGCCTCAAGTGGAAAAAAGTACCCCCCTTTTTTCTATGAGAGAGAGCGAGAGGGAGCTTTCTCAGCCTCCTTCAGTGGTCCATAACTGAGTCAGCAGCATGAATAGGAGGAGCCAACTCTGGGCATGAGATTTAATGGAAGACTATTACTGTGGAAATGCCATGTGTCTACAGCTTATATTTTTACAACATTATTAAAGCTGTGAGAGCTAGCTGCTTGTCAGCATTGGCCTGTGGCCAAAAGGCTATTATGACTAGGGCCCAGAGTTTTTACTGACCAGCTGACCTGACCAAGAACAACTCTGGGCGCCTATGTATAAGCTATTACTCTGTGCCCTAGTTGGAGTCTATGACTAGGGCCAGGAGTTTTTTTTTTACTCGTCCTCTTAACCCCTGACATATTTCTGTGTTTTGTATCCTTAGTACCACAGTAACCAGGTTTCCATCCAACCTTTTTATGCCAGTAAAGTATATGTCAAAAAAAAAAAAAAAAAAGTTATGACAGGCCTGATGGAATAAGAAAACTATTCTGTAAACTTTCCAAATGTCGGAGAAAAAAAAATATGCTAGACAAGGTGGGATCTTTTTGTGTCTGTAAAATAAATTATGCAAGAAATGTCGCTGGAAACCCTTTTATGCGCAAATATTAATATAATAACCATCATATCAAAGTAAACTTGGAGTCACGCAATGACATGTGTGGTCCTCCAACTACGACTATTAGACTGAAATAAGTTATGATAAACTTCACAGGGTGGTGAAAGTGCAAGGTGATGAGCTTGATGCTCCTTTCCAATAAATATTGAGGGTCTTATTCTGGTGACATGATGGTCAAAGCTTGGCTGCCGTTTGTCCATAATAATCTCATCATGTAGGCTATACGTGCACTCTAGCCAACAGCGTGCAGATAGCCTACAGTATCTGCACGCTGTTGGCTAGAGCGCACATGCCAAGACCAGAGTGGGCACACTCGCTATATAACACACAATTATTTTTTGGTACATGGGAATTGAACCGCAAAAGGTATTTTTATGTGCACTATGTCATCAAGCACAGCCTTTTATCCGCAACGGGTCAATTTGATGGAAACACATCTCTGGTGGGAAAATGTTTTCATGCAGATTTTAGAATATTCGCATGAAAATCTGTCGCCAGTTGGATGGAAACCTAGCTAGTTATCAGTGTTTTTGTTACATTTGTAAATAGTGTTGCTGGTCCAAAATGTAATAGAATTCCAAAATTATGTAGCTAGTACGCACTCAAAAAGGAGATTCAAGGTTTCTTTTAGTATTTATTTCATTCAGTGGTAGGTAGATAGACAACAAACCTTAGGTCGAAACATCCATCTACCTACCCCTGAATGAAATAAATACTAAAAGAAACCTTGAATCTCCTTTTTGAGTGCGTACTAGCTACATCATTTGGAATTCTATTACATTTTGGTTGACACACCTGTTCTGAGCGCAGTGGTCACACAAACTTTGTTACATCTTCAGCCTCACCAATCAGCTGGCCCTGTGAACAATCCTGTCCACAAACACAATCCACACAGCCTAGCTTGATACTGAACAGACAACAGCCCTCCAATATGGGTCCAAACCTTGTTTCCTGCTCCTCCAGTATTATATTTAACATCCCAGGGACAATGCATTCTTTAAAGGCGCATGGCCTGTCATTAGAAGACATCAAGGAAAGACAAATTGGAATTAACAGAGGCAGTCTGGAGAGTTAGGAGGAACTCGCTAGTTGGCCCTTAGCCACTGATCTAAGGTCAGCTTTGAATTCCCCCCTAATGGTGTAGATTTGCAAAATTCCGGGAACTTTCAATAAATTCCCTGGTTTTCAAGAACTCCTGGTTGGAGGATTCCGGATTTCCTGCTTATTCCCTCAGATTCTGTGAATCCTCCAACCGGGATTTGGGAAAATCAGGACATTTTATTGTAAGTTCATGGAATTTTGCAACCCTAGTTAAGATTTCAGGATGATACGCTGATCCTAGATCTGTGATTAAAGACACCTTCTACAGCAGGAGCAGTAATTGAACTTACTTGAAGACTTTGACGTAGTCGGCCAGTTCAGGAATGGACGTGATATCACCCTGAGAGGAAGAGAAGAGAAGAACAAATGTTTATTGATAAAAGGAGAAGGGCAGGATTCTGCACAACTCTAACAATGACCTCAAGTTTGACTCTCAGCGTTGCATATAAAATAAACAGTTGTGTAATCAAGCTTCAACTTCCTCAGATAAGCTGTATAAACCTCAGTCTGTTGGGGAGGGGTACATTTAACAATGGCCACATCATGTGATACCAACTATAGTATTTAGCCTTCTGAACAAACCTCTTGCCTTGCAGTAAAGTAATGTTCAGTGAACTATTTTTTATTTATTTTTTTATTTCACCTTTATTTAACCAGGTAAGCCAGTTGAGAACAAGTTCTCATTTACAACTGCGACCTGGCCAAGATAAAGCATAGTAGTGCGATAAAAACAACAACACAGAGTTACATATGGTGTAAAAAAACATAAAGTCAAAAAAATACAACAGAAAATATATATACAGTGTGTGCAAATGTAGCAAGTTATGGAGGTAAGGCAATAAATAGGCTATAGTGCAAAATAATTACAATTAGTATTAACACTGGAATGCTAGATGTGCAAGAGATGATGTGCAAATAGAGATACTGGGGTGCAAAAGAGCAAAATAAATAACAATATAGGGATGAGGTAGTTGGGTGGGCTAATTTCAGATGGGCTGTGTACAGGTGCAGTGATCGGTAAGGTGCTCTGACAACTGATGCTTAAAGTTAGTGAGGGAGATAAGTGTCTCCAGCTTCAGAGATTTTTGCAATTCGTTCCAGTCATTGGCAGCAGAGAATTGGAAGGAATGGCGGCCAAAGGAGGTGTTGGCTTTGGGAATGACCAGTGAGATATACCTGCTGGAGCGCAGACTACGGGTGGGTGCTGCTATGGTGACCAATGAGCTAAGATAAGGCGGGGATTTGCCTAGCAGTGATTTATAGATGGCCTGGAGCCAGTGGGTTTGGAATCCACACACTAAAGTAGTACCAGGGTGTTGTAGGACTTTCCTCCCTCCAGGGTGATCTCCAGGTCTGACAGGGTTAGGGTTGGGGTTAGTATAGGACAGTAAGGTGTTGTACCAGGGTGATCTCCAGGTCTGACAGGGTTAGGGTTGGGGTTAGTATAGGACAGTAAGGTGTTGTACCAGGGTGATCTCCAGGTCTGACAGGGTTAGGGTTGGGGTTAGTATAGGACAGTAAGGTGTTGTACCAGGGTGATCTCCAGGTCTGACAGGGTTAGGGTTGGGGTTAGTATAGGACAGTAAGGTGTTGTACCAGGGTGATCTCCAGGTCTGACAGGGTTAGGGTTGGGGTTAGTATAGGACAGTAAGGTGTAGTACCAGGGTGATCTCCAGGTCTGACAGGGTTAGGGTTGGGGTTAGTATAGGACAGTAAGGTGTTGTACCAGGGTGTTGGAGGTCTTGCCTCCCTCCAGGGTGATCTCCAGGTCTGACAGGGCAGCATCCACCTCGTCCACCTCCTTCTCACTGTTGTTCATGTGGTTTCCTGACGACATGATGGACAGCTTGTTGATGTGGTACTGGGGGACAGAGAGAGAAGGGTTTAGCTTACAGTCCTTTACCCTATATGCCATGAAGGTGACATATGTCGTTTCAACACCACATGATCAATGGAGTCTCCTGTTTGATATTGAAAGAAAAATGACTTCATTTCACTTTTCTGTTTTGCTCCACTGGGTTTCGTTTCTATGTAGGTTGGTAGTGATTGCCCAGTCCCTTTCATAGCATATGAGGTGGTAAAGTGGTAATAACATGATCATTGTCCAATAAATACTTTGGGTTTCATTGAAGCACACACCATGAAGCACTAACTGTTGGTTAACAATGTTGAATTCTTTGAAGTGAGTACCAGAAAATACCCATATTATCACACAATTTTTCAGTAAATACCAGGTCTACGCCATAAAAATATGACTGTAAAACAAAGCATGTGTACAGTGTGTAGCAACCATGTCGAGACAGAGTGGCTTTGAGGGGGAAGGGTATGATTTAGTAGAGAAAGTGGGTGGGAGGGTCTAGATGCTGCAATCTCAGCACTGACTGTAAATGTGTCTTTACTAGAAGCACATGTGAGTAGTGTAGACTTGGGACATCGCGTGCAACATTTCTACATTGATTCACAATGGAAATACCATCTAGTCTGTTCAGAATTGTGTTTGTAATATTGGGAAGAGTCCCTGACCTTGCCTGGCCATTCATTCATTATCATGTGGACCAACAGAGAGTCAGTCTCAGCATGGTCTGGTCTACCCCACAGTGGCACTAAGCCTAGGACTCACCAACACTCAATACAACTTGTTGACAAACGGTATTTATACTGTCAAGCCACCCCACCTCCCACTAGTCCCCTTCGACATATGAATGAACAGCTGCCGAGAGAGAGAGAGAGAGAGAGAGAGAGAGAGAGAGAGAGAGAGAGAGAGAGAGAGAGAGAGAGAGAGAGAGAGAGAGAGAGAGAGAGAGAGAGAGAGAGAGAGAGAGAGAGAGAGGTGGTGTGGGGGTGAGAAAGAGGTAGAGGGGGCGGGAAAGGAAGAGAGGCATATTTCAGGACGCTGTGGCGGAAGCGGCCATAGCCAGCTAGGGTTTCAGAATGTAGGACAAAAGCTTCCCCCTCTATGTTACCATGGCCTTTTCTCAATTAGATTTGCTCACCTCCTGCGTCCTCTCTCGCCTCCTTTTGAAAAAGGCCAAAGTTAATCGAGGAGAGTCGGCGAGGAGAGTGAACGTGTTTGGAAATGTGCTTGAAATGAGACGCTCCTTCTCCACTCGCGCATCATTAGGCTAATTATGTTTACAGTGGTGAATCCCAAAAAATGTGTAGAGTGATCCCAAAACAAATAAGTTAGTTGTGCAATACATTTTATAGATACAATAATAAGAAGCATATTGTTTTTAAATGTGTGCATATTTCCCCCCCCCTAACAAAACAAATGCTGATTTAAAGGGGGTGTGGTACATTTCAAAACTCTTCCGCCAGTAGGATACACATAAGTATCCTCAATGAAAGGTGGCTATCGAGGAGGGGAGGACACTCTTTTGTTTGCCTACTATCAAATTGACACAATACTCGACCACTTATTGGTTTCCAGGTCACCGAGGAGAGAGGACAGAATTTTGCCCAAACGAGAATCTCCCCATGTCTCTACCTCCGACGCCCACTGACACTGCCTTTACCATGGGGGATGGGGGAATGTGTGTATGTGTTTCTGGTGCACACATGTGTTTCTGGGACATGTTCTACTGGTGTGTGCGTTGTGTGTATAGGGTTGGAGTTGGGGGCTGTTTACTGAGCTAGACATGGCGGGCTAATCGCTATACTTAGACACGCCGACATATCCAGGTGATAGCCTGCTAACGCCAGCCAGCTCCCTGGACACAGAGACCACTCAACTCTTACTGCAATAAACCCACCCCTTCTCTTCCTGCCTGACTTCATCAGTGAAACCTTAGCCATGACTCCAACAGCTACCTTTAACTTAGCAAGAGAGAGTGATAGATAGCTGTGCTAACAGACAGGTAGCGACAGGCTAGCTGTTAATCCAAACAAACTGCAGATCAGCATCTCCTCGGGGGGGACGAAAGACTAAAACCTCAACCAATGGTGTATTAATAAACGGCTCGGCCTCTGTTGGAAAACGTAACATGGTAGTTAACAGCTTATAGAGGAATGTGTAGGAGGCTACAGGTCAGGTTGGAGTGGGTGGTCCATCCGGTGGTGGTGGGGTGAGTCCAGTAGCCGTTAGTGCTGAGCAATTAAATCAACATTTGTCATTTTTTGTTTTTTAAACAACTAATTCACAGATATTGGTTCAATTATTTGAATTCCATTTCCTTCAGTTTTTTTCTGTGAGCTCAATGCGCAGTTTCTCTCAAGATAAATCAGATCAAGCCCGAACTGTGTAATGTTGTTGGGAGTTGTAGTTTCCAACAGGCCAATATTCTACATAGTTTAGCGCAGAAACGTAGTTAACTACAATGACCATAATCCATTGTGCACCTACTTGTCCAGTCTGTGCGTTTTAGTTTTTTTCTGTGAGCTCAATGCGCAGTTTCTCTCAAGATAAATCAAATCAAGCCCGAACTGTGTAATGTTGTTGGGAGTTGTAGTTTCCAACAGGCCAATATTCTACATAGTTTAGCGCAGAAACGTAGTTAACTACAATGACCATAATCCATTGTGCACCTACTTGTCCAGTCTGTGCGTTTTTTTTTAACGCCTGCTACGTTAGGTTAGTGTGGGGCAGACACGAAGAGGTTGAGAAGAGACAGAAAAATGCGCGATTGAGAAGTATAGAGAGCAGTTGCTTCGCAAGGTATCTCTACCTGAAAATACATGATCTAAGTGATTGATAGTTGGTGTTCAGCAGTCATAAAAGTATGCCTTATTTACTTTGAATAACTACTAAAATAGTGATTTTGTCAGACAGCATAGTCAGCAGCTCTATAGAGATGAGATTACTTGGAATGAAATACAACAAATATAATATACACAACTGAAATATTTATTTTGTATTTATTGTACTTTTTTTATCCCTTTTTCTCCCCAATTTCGTGATATCCAATTGGTAGTTACAGTCTTGTCCCATCGCTGCAACTCCCCTACGGACTCGGGAGAGGCGAAGGTCGAGAGCCATGCGTCCTCCGAAACACGACCCTGCCAAGCCGCACTGCTTCTTGATACACTGCTCGCTTATCACGGAAGCCAACCGCACCAAAGTGTCCGGAGGAAACACCGTCCAGCTGGCGACCGAAGTCAGCTTGCAGGCGCCCGGCCACCACAAGGAGTCGCTAGAGCGCGATGGGACAAGGAAATCCTGGCCGGCCAAACCCTCCTCTAACCCGGACGACGCTGGGCCAACTGTGCGCCGACTCATGGGTCTCCCAGTCAAGGCTGGCTGTGACACAGCCTGGGATCAAACCCAGGTCTGTAGTGACGCCTCAAGCACTGCGATGCAGTGCCTTAGACTGCTGCGCCACTTGGGAGGCCCCACAACTGAAATATTTTATTAAAATAATGTGAATAAATGGTTAATAAGTGATAAGCAGTAATGGGCAGTCACTACCATCATGGGACTTGTATTAATTGTTTTATTCTGTGTTACAGCATTCAACCCACAATGCATTTAATTTAAAAAAACTAAAATAAATAATCAAAACCCCAAAAAACGTGTTTATTGTTTAATAATCGAACCAAAACCGAACAGACCTCAACAAGCACTAATCGCTCAGCACTAGTAGATGTGGTTACTCTATAATTACCCATTGGGGTGAGGACACACTGGCGCCCCCAGGTCCTGTCACTCAGGCTTTACGAGGTTTGGAAATAGCCAGGCCGCCCCCGGGCTAAGGCTAAGGTGTCACAGACAGGATCATTTGGTTTCATTGCAGCCCGGGGCGGCCCTGCATATAGTTAAAGGACAATTGTGCCACTTTTCAACCTCATATTCATTATCGGCAGCACCAAACCAGTGTCTACATATGTGAACATGGCGTGTTTCTTTGATCAGTGGTTAAAACGATAAGAAAGGTCCTAAAAAATGATTCTCTGTGACATCACAGGGAAGGATTAAAACTAAGAAAAACAGTGATTTTCAAAACCTGCAACGAGTTTCTAGCCAGAGGGAGGATATTTTATTGCTCATCACGTCACTGTGAATCTCATAGTGTTTTAAAATCACTGTTTTTCTAATGTTTTTACAAAAGGTAGAAATGCGCAGTTTTCACATATGTAGACACTGGTATTGTGACGGAGATAATGAAAATGGAGGTCGAAAAGTACTGGATTTGCCCTTTAATAGGGGAACCATGTTTCTGAGTACTGCAGCAGACCAGACCAGACACCCACCCCATCCAAGTCTGACCCCTGGTCAACACGCCCATTCAATTCATTAGCTGTTCCGCAGTGTTCTGTTCAACAGGCAGTGAGCCCATAGAGAAGATAACTACTTGAGGGCTTAGTAATCAGTCTTCAACCAGGCCAATTAACATGACACCTACACACACACACACGCGTGGAACTGCACATTACAGTACACATCCACACACACACACACACACACACACACGTCTCACCTGCAGGGCGGCGAACATCATCATCTCCTCCTCAGTGCACTCTATTTCCTCCAGCAGGATGGCCCACTTGGCCTGCTCATATAGCTGGTTCACCCTGATGGCATCGTACTGCAAGGGGGAGAACACATAGCGTTAGCCCTGGCACTAAGCCTGCCTCTTCACAAGTACATAGCATAGACCCACACACAGCACTCAGAGACAGTCCAGCTGAGAAAACAGGACAGCCCAGAGGGGTACTTCCTCTACACGCCCCCCAAAATCTGCTAGCTGCAGATGTAGGCTGGTGGGGAGTGTGTGTGTGCATGTTTTGCATGTGGTGTGGTGTGTAAGCTGTTACACAATTCAGAGAAACGCAATAAAAGTTTCAAGAGAAACCCTAAAGTCTCATCTGATGGAAAAACGGCTCCACATACTGTACCTTGGGGTTGAGGTCGAAGAAGCTGTGGTACTTAAACCGCAGGAGGAGCACCTCGTTCTCCTTGACATCCTGCTCCATCAGAGACCTGGATGAGTCCAGCCACCTTCACACACACACAGGAGAAATAAAAGACATCATCATTGACAGAACAGTGACTGTCACACTTCTGAGAGAAGGTTCCACAATCAAAATGACCTCAGAGTTGTAACAGAGTTGTGAAACAGGGGCCAGTTGCAGTACAGTAGGCAACACTGGTGCTAGATGGGTATTATTAGGGCGACTCACCCCTGGTTGATCTTGGCCTTGTCCAGGAGGGACTGGGGCTTGTAGAGTTTGGCCAGGATATCGGGCGAGGAGATTGGCTGGCTGACAGCAAGGATGCTGGGATTGCCCTCGGACAGGGGGCTGTCTCCGAACCAGGCGGTGGTGGGGGACAGGGGGCTGCCGTCTCTGGAGTCATAGGTGGGGGTCATGGTCTTACTGTACAGACCTGGACTGGAGTAGATGCTCCCTGCAAACCAGACAACACATGTTTAGTACCCTGGGGTAGACTAAGGAATGTTGGGCTCAATTCCATTTCAGTTTGAGAGATTAATTGAAATTCCAATTCAAGTTTTTTTTGTTAATATCATTACATTGGAATTTCAATTAACTTCCTGAATTGAAATGATCCCAATTGTGTGAGTGACATCCACCAAGACAAAGAAAGACACACATCACAAGTACCATACCAGCAAAACACTGAATATGATAAAAACACGGTCACAATACAGTCCCCTGCAAAATAATGCACTACACTCACACATTCAGTACCAAGCACAAGTGCCTCCAAAAATAAAGTGAACATTGTTCCACAACACACACTTGCAGCCTGCGGTTGGTAGCACCACCGATCTGACAGGTGGTCTTGATGCCCTGCCGACGCTGTTGGGGAATTATGATGCGCTTTAGCATGCACATGGTGCACACGATCATGGTCACATGGTCCACAACCTGGAAGGTGCACAGAGCAAACTATACAGCACAACCAGCAACATATAGGGAGGGAGGGGGGGATAGGGAGGGGCAGTGGAGGGGGAGGGGCTTACACGAAAGTGAGACAGCAAGGTTCTAAAAGCTAGCATCTCTCTGCTTTGTTTGTGTTCCATTTAGGAGAAAAAGGTGGATGTGTGTTTGGAGGGAGAGATTGATCTTCCTTGGGTGGAGGAGAAGTATGCGTGTATAGAGAGAGGTTTGTGTGTATGATTTTTTTGAGTTGTATTCGGATTTAAGCCATTGACAATTGAACTAAGACATAAATAACCAATGTGAAACCATGACATTTCCTGCTGGCTGGCCTGTCCAGTATGTTTGGCCGTAGAAACAGCCCACACACTGACCAGGCCCCATTGGCCTGAAAAAGCAGGCAGGCAGGCCAAACCACTAACCTCAATCTCAACAAGAAATGGCCTGTGTGTGTGTGTGTGTGTGTGTGTGTGTATATATATATATATATATATATATATATATACACACACAGTGGGGAAAAAAAGTATTTAGTCAGCCACCAATTGTGCATGTTCTCCCACTTAAAAAGATGAGAGAGGCCTGTAATTTTCATCATAGGTACACGTCAACTATGACAGACAAATTGAGGAAAAAAAATCCAGAAAATCACATTGTAGGATTTTTTATGAATTTATTTGCAAATTATGGTGGAAAATAAGTATTTGGTCACCTACAAACAAGCAAGATTTCTGGCTCTCACAGACCTGTAACTTCTTCTTTAAGAGGCTCCTCTGTCCTCCACTCGTTACCTGTATTAATGGCACCTGTTTGAACTTGTTATCAGTATAAAAGACACCTGTCCACAACCTCAAACAGTCACACTCCAAACTCCACTATGGCCAAGACCAAAGAGCTGTCAAAAGACACCAGAAACAAAATTGTAGACCTGCACCAGGCTGGGAAGACTGAATCTGCAATAGGTAAGCAGCTTGGTTTGAAGAAATCAACTGTGGGAGCAATTATTAGGAAATGGAAGACATACAAGACCACTGATAATCTCCCTCGATCTGGGGCTCCATGCAAGATCTCACCCCGTGGGGTCAAAATGATCACAAGAATGGTGAGCAAAAATCCCAGAACCACACGGGGGGACCTAGTGAATGACCTGCAGAGAGCTGGGACCAAAGTAACAAAGCCTACCATCAGTAACACACTACGCCGCCAGGGACTCAAATCCTGCAGTGCCAGACGTGTCCCCCTGCTTAAGCCAGTACATGTCCAGGCCCGTCTGAAGTTTGCTAGAGTGCATTTGGATGATCCAGAAGAGGATTGGGAGAATGTAATATGGTCAGATGAAACCAAAATAGAACTTTTTGGTAAAAACTCAACTCGTCGTGTTTGGAGGACAAAGAATGCTGAGTTGCATCCAAAGAACACCATACCTACTGTGAAGCATGGGGGTGGAAACATCATGCTTTGGGGCTGTTTTTCTGCAAAGGGACCAGGAAGACTGATCCGTGTAAAGGAAAGAATGAATGGGGCCATGTATCGTGAGATTTTGAGTGAAAACCTCCTTCCATCAGCAAGGGCATTGAAGATGAAACGTGGCTGGGTCTTTCAGCATGACAATGATCCCAAACACACCGCCCGGGCAACGAAGGAGTGGCTTCGTAAGAAGCATTTCAAGGTCCTGGAGTGGCCTAGCCAGTCTCCAGATCTCAACCCCATAGAACATCTTTGGAGGGAGTTGAAAGTCTGTGTTGCCCAGCGACAGCCCCAAAACATCACTGCTCTAGAGGAGATCTGCATGGAGGAATGGGCCAAAATACCAGCAACAGTGTGTGAAAACCTTGTGAAGACTTACAGAAAACGTTTGACCTGTGTCATTGCCAACAAAGGGTATATAACAAAGTATTGAGAAACTTTTGTTATTGACCAAATACTTATTTTCCACCATAATTTGCAAATAAATTCATTAAAAATCCTACAATGTGATTTTCTGGATTTTTTTCCCTCATTTTGTCTGTCATAGTTGACGTGTACCTATGATGAAAATTACAGGCCTCTCTCATCTTTTTAAGTGGGAGAACTTGCACAATTGGTGGCTGACTAAATACTTTTTTCCCCCCACTGTATGTGTGTGTCTAATACAGTCGAAGTCATGAGAAGAGCGAGGGTTTCTAGAAGGCTCTATAAAGGTTGACTCATAAATGCAGGGAGGGAGGCAATGCAGGTCAGCTAGAGTGCTGCTCTCCCATATGGTCACAGGAGGAATCCCAAACATCTAGGGAAAGCTGATAACAGTATATACCCCCTCATCTAGAGAAAACAGTCAGGCCAATGTGTTTACTCCCAGCCGTTGACTTTCAGTAGGATAGTGAAAATGGTCTGAAGGGCACCGACTATGTTAACACCTCCTAATCCTTCATCCCCTTTCACTGGGGACTGCTAGGGTCTGGAGGGGTAGACCACCCAGCGCTTTGTCGCCTAGATGTAAACTAGGAGGTGTCGTCACCATATAAAAGTGTCTCTGTTTCTACACATGGCTTCTGTATGGATATGGGTTGGGGGTGGTCCATTTGAAATTGGGTGAATGTATTGTTGTGGACATACCATCCTTCTTCTAACCACTTATTTATTTTAAATTGGCTCTTCCTGGTACCTGCTGAGCAAAACGTGAACAGATTTCTAGCAAAACAAACACAAAGTGAGCAAAGCTGTTTTTAGTGAGCTTGGTTCTGTTGGAGTGAGGCAAAGCCTATCATGTAACCAGAGTCAGCTGATTTCCTCAGTCAGGTGACAAGGGCAGCAGCTGGCTTCCTATGGATACAGCCTTGTCAGGTGACCAGACCATCACTCCAGCTGAGGGGTGAGGAGGGTAAGGGAAACAGGAGGAGGGGAGAAAGCAGACAGAAGACCAGGAGAAACCTTACCTTTGACCGGCCCGATGTAAATTATCTCAGAGGCTAGAGGGAAAAGACAGAAAACAAGAAAAGGAGGAAGGGAAGGAAAGCAGAGGAAAAGGAACAAAAACAAGAGGACAGATTAAAGAGATATTAAAACCAGAGATATTAAAAAGACAAGATGAAAAAGGAAGAAAAAGGAGGGAGTAGACATGGATGAGAATGACAACCAGGGGAGGGCACTGCCAGTATGCCAATCTAACCAACCCCAGATTAGAGGAGGTCCTTTTGCCCTCCTAGCAGAGGAGAAAGGAACATGGCATGACAAACCATGGACAGTTCCCATCCATCTCTAATTGAAAAGCCAGGCAGGGCAGGGCGTTGGTTAAATTGACCCAGCACTACATAACACACCTACTGAAATTAAAGTCCTGTTCATATCAACTTTACATGATGAGAATATCGTAGAGATTATTATCTGAGAGGAACTGCAGAGTAGCAGACCCCATGGCAAAGAAGGAGCAAGCATGGTCTTAGTCCTAGTTCTGAGTCATAGGAAACTGTTAGTAATATGGATAGTAACAACATTCATGTTTCTATTAATGGAATGTGAGTTGGAGGTCTGGGATTTTCCAGTGACACCGTAGACATGTGGGTGGAGATGGGTTGTGGTCTTAGACTCAGAATTGACTAATTCTAAACACTAACTGGATCAACCCCATACATCCACTTGGTCTAGGGTGAACTTCTGAACTCAAATCTTGCCAACTCATCTTCACCTCAGTATTGCCCCCTCACCCAGTTTCCTCTGTGGTCCAGTGAGTGTGTTAGGAAGGAGATAAGGAGTTATCAGGTCAAGGTCAAAGAGGCCACAGAGGGCCTCATTCAGTATGAGTGGAATGGGCAGGACTGTTGGGAGAGGCTGGGGCTGAGCTCCATACAGATTGCATCAAGTGTAAGGAAGAGGCTGTGTGTGCATCCGTGTGGGTGTGTGTTTGTGCGTCGTAGATTGCATCGTGGCCTGGACCTTGTGATTCCCATCAGGCGGCCACAGCCCCTCCCAGAGGGGAGGCAACACAACAGTCAGGAATAACTCCCAGCAGCTTGGCAATGAAACACTGCACATTAAACATTTATTCTCTCCTACCATCTGAGCTGGGGGAGAAGGTGTGTGTGCGCGCGCACACACACGTTTTCCTTCAAGTCTTTTTGTTCCTAAAGCGCCTTTGACTATTTGTACAGAGGTAAGGCTTGGCCTAATTCATTTTAGAAACCCCTGGCCAACAATTAACACAGCTCAATAGGATATCAGTGTGGAGATAATTGGGGCAATACCAGTCATATATAAGGGTGTAATAATAATCAGAAAAAGTCTGAGACTATTTCCCAGGGTCACCCATGGAGTCAAATGGCAATGGGAACCAACAAGCATATAATTGACATAACATTGGAGAGGGAGCCAAGTGTCAGAGGTTGTAGGCTTACTGTCCCTTCACTTTTCTTCTCACATGCTCCCCTTTTTCCCCTCTCCTGCCTCTCCCTCTCTCTCCTTCTGTCCCCTTTTCTCACATTCTCACCCCCCACCCCCCCTTGAGCCTACAGGCTGACTACAGTGGGGAGAACAAGTATTTGATACACTGCCGATTTTGCAGGTTTTCCTACTTACAAAGCATGTAGAGGTCTGTAATTTTTATCATAGGTACACTTCAACTGTGAGAGACAGAATCTAAAACAAAAATCCAGAAAATCACATTGTATGATTTTTAAGTAATAATTTGCATTTTATTGCATGACATAAGTATTTGATACATCAGAAAAGCAGAACTTAATATTTGGTACAGAAACCTTTGTTTGCAATTACAGAGATCATACGTTTCCTGTAGGTCTTGACCAGGTTTGCACACACTGCAGCAGGGATTTTGGCCCACTCCTCCATACAGACCTTCTCCAGATCCTTCAGGTTTCGGGGCTGTCGCTGGGCAATACAGACTTTCAGCTCCCTCCAAAGATTTTCTATTGGGTTCAGGTCTGGAGACTGGCTAGGCCACTCCAGGACCTTGAGATGCTTCTTACGGAGCCACTCCTTAGTTGCCCTGGCTGTGTGTTTCGGGTCGTTGTCATGCTGGAAGACCCAGCCACAACCCATCTTCAATGCTCTTACTGAGGGAAGGAGGTTGTTGGCCAAGATCTCGCGATACATGGCCCCATCCATCCTCCCCTCAATACGGTGCAGTCGTCCTGTCCCCTTTGCAGAAAAGCATCCTCAAAGAATGATGTTTCCACCTCCATGCTTCACGGTTGGGATGGTGTTCTTGGGGTTGTACTCATCCTTCTTCTTCCTCCAAACACGGCGAGTGGAGTTTAGACCAAAAAGCTATATTTTTGTCTCATCAGACCACATGACCTTCTCCCATTCCTTCTCTGGATCATCCAGATGGTCATTGGCAAACTTCAGACGGGCCTGGACAGGCGCTGGCTTGAGCAGGGGGACCTTGCGTGCGCTGCAGGATTTTAATCCATGATGGTGTAGTGTGTTACTAATGGTTTTCTTTGAGACTGTGGTCCCAGCTCTCTTCATTGACCAGGTCCTGCCGTGTAGTTCTGGGCTGATCCCTCACCTTGCTCATGATCATTGATGCCCCACGAGGTGAGATCTTGCATGGAGCCCCAGACCGAGGGTGATTGACCGTCATCTTGAACTTCTTACATTTTCTAATAATTGCGTCAACAGTTATTGCCTTCTCACCAAGCTGCTTGCCTATTGTCCTGTAGCCCGTCGCAGCATTGTGCAGGTCTACAATTGTATCCCTGATGTCCTTACACAGCTCTCTGGTATTGGCCATTGTGGAGAGGTTGGAGTCTGTTTGATTGAGTGTGTGGACAGGTGTCTTTTATACAGGTAACGAGTTCAAACAGGTGCAGTTAATACAGGTAATGAGTGGGGAACAGGAGGGCTTCTTAAAGAAAAACTAACTAATTCTTACTGGTTGGTAGGTGATCAAATACTTATGTCATGCAATAAAATGCAAATGAATTACTTAAAAATCATACAATGTGATTTTCTGGATTTTTGTTTTAGATTCCGTCTCTCACAGTTGAAGTGTACCTATGATAAAAATTACAGACCTCTACATGCTTTGTAAGTAGGAAAACCTGCAAAATCGGCAGTGTATCAAATACTTGTTCTCCCCACTGTATGCATGTGTTGGATGGTAGGCCAAGTAGCTATAGGGGCAGGGTTGGGACAATGAGGCCCATTCACACTGCCTTAGCATTAGCAACGCTGGCTAACACTGCATAGATACCACAGCACGGCCCCATGTTCCTCCTCCTTCCTCATATCACTGTAGCTAATTCACTGACAGGGCTAGTAGGGGGGAGGAGGAGGGGCCGGGTGTAGCTATTGCTCTGCAGCCTGGTTTGGGTTTAAAATGGCAGGGTGACCAACTATGTGAGGAATCCCAACCATTCGCTCCCTCCCTGTCAAGGAGTAAGGAGCCCAGAGTCTGCAAATCATACCGTTAACTCCTCAAACTCACACATTCTTATTTAGGCAGATAATACCAAAACTCTCATATTTTGTTGCCTCTACTATTTTTAAACAGATGCTCCTGCTATTCAACCTGTTATTGGACTGTGAAGACGTGATTCCATCGTGGACATTCCAGGAGTGGAAGTGTAACCAGAATTCTCCAACACTTTCTCTAAATAGAATGTCATGGTGATGTAATGAAAGGATTTTCCTCCAATCAAGATAAGATCCCTGGTACAGTAGCATCCCTTATATTATGACTGCGTCTTTCATCAGAGCAGCATGTGAGAGCCACAGAGCCAGGTCTGTGTTTAAGACATAGCTTAGCTCAGCTGGACAGCATATGCTAACTGGGTTAGCATCCATAGGCCCAGCCAGTAGGACATTATGGAGTAGAAGGCTGTTCAGGGTAGGCTTTGGGTGTTTGAGGTAAATTAGTGAAACTTACTACCTGATCCAGGGGTGAGCAGTGGCCCCTCCAGCTCCAGAGCCTCCTCCTCAGCCTCCTCCAGCTTTTTCTTCTTCTTCTTGGGGTCACGGGGCTTACGCAGTAGAGACGCCTCCTCTGGATGACGGATGTCTAGAGAGAGAGACACAGAGAGAGACAGAGAGAGACCGACAGAGAGAGAAAAACACAGAGAGACAGTCATAAGAAGTTGTCACAAAATCCCCAAAACACTATGTACCGGTGAATCAAGTTTGACACCAACAGGCTCCTGAACAGCTTCTTATCCCCATGCCATAAGACTGTTAAATAACTAACTAAATAGCTAACAAAATGACAACACGGACTACCTGAGTTGACCCCTGTATTTTAATTATTATGTCTCTATGCACACTCACAGGGCCCTACACACTTACGCACACTGACATCTACACACATACAAACACTCACTCCATTTGCGCTCACACACATAATATGCAGATACATTTATACTGACTCTATACACACGCACTGACATACAATCTTAATATATACGCTGCTGCTACTCTGTTTATCATATATCCTGATGCCTAGTCACCTTACCCCGACACATACAGTGCATTTGGAAAGTATTCAGACCCCTTAACTTTTTCCACATTGTTACGTTACAGCCTTATTCTAAAATGGATTAAATAAAAACATTTCTTAATCAATCTACACACAATACCCCATAATGAAAAAACAGAAATACCTTATTAACATAGTATTCAGACTCTTTGCTATGGGACTTGAAATTGAGCTCAGGTTCATCCTGTTTCCATTGATCATCCTTGAGATGTTTGTATAACTTGATTGGACATGTGCATGTCAGAGCAAAAACCAAGCCATGAGGTCGAAGGACTTGTCAGTAGAGCTCAGAGACAGGATTGTGTCGAGGCAAAGATCTGGGGAAGGTACCAAAAACTTTCTGCAGCATTGAAGGTCCCCAAGAACACAGTGGCCTCAATCATTCTTAAATGGAAGAAGTTTGGAACCACCAAGACTCTTCTTAGAGCTTTCCGCCGGGCCGAACTGAGCAATCGGGGGAGAAGGGCCTTGGTCAGGGAGGTGACCAAGAACCCGATGGTCACTCTGACAGAGCTCCAGTGTTCCTCTGTGAAGATGGGAGAGCCTTCCAGAAGGACAACCATCTCTGCAGCACTCTACCAAGCAGGCCTTTACGGTACAGTGGCCAGACGGAAGCCATTCCTCAGTAAATGGCACATGACAGCCCGCTTGGAGTTTGCCAAAAGGCATCTAAAGGACTCTCAGACCATGAGAAACAAGATTCTCTGGTCTGAGGAATCCAAGATTGAACTCTTTGGCCTGAATGCCAAGCGTAACATCTGGAGGAAACCTGGCACCATCCCTACGGTGAAGCATGGTGGTGGCAGCATCATGCTGTGGGGATGTTTTTCAGCGGCAGGGACTGGGAGACTAGTCAGGATCGAGGGAAAGATGAACAGAGCAAAGTACAGAGATATCCTTGATGAAAACCTGCACCAGAGCACTCAGGACCTCAGACTGTGGCGTTGGTTCACCTTCCAACAGGACAATGACCCTAAGCACACAGCCAAGACAACATAGGAGTGGCTTCGGGACAAGTCTCTGAATGTCCTTGAGTGGCCTAACCAGAGGCCAGACTTGAACCCGATCGAACATCTCTGGAGAGACCTCCAGCTATTTTCAGAAACTCCCCAAATACAGGTTTTCCTAGCTTGTAGCGTCATACCCAAGAATACTTGAGGCTGTAATCGCTGACAAAGGTGCTTCAACAAAGTACTGAGTAAAGGGTCTGAATACTTTTCTAAATATGATATCAGTTTTTTATTATTTATAAATTTGCAAAGATTTCTAAAAACCTGTTTTTGCTTTGTCATTATAGGGTATTGTGTGTAGATTGATGAGGAAAAAAAAACATTTTAGAATAAGGCTGTAACGTTACAAAATGTGGAAAAAGTCAAGGGGTCTGAATACTTTCCGAATGCAGTGTCTACCTCTATCACTCCAGTATCCCTGCACATTGTAAATATGATACTGGAACTGACCCTGTATATAGTATGCGTGCTTACTTTGTGTTCTTATTTCTATTTTGTTTTAGTATTACATTGTTATTGATTACTGCATTGTTGGGGTTAGAGCTTGCAAGAAAGGCATTTGACTGTACTTGTGCATGTGACATTAAAACATATCCTTGCAACAACGCTAATCTAATCCAGAGACCCTGTGGAGAGCGAACAGTGAGAGAGAGAAATAAATGAAAGATGGGGGATAGCCAGAAATGTAGTGAGATAAAGAGGGGGATAGAGACAGAGAAGTGGGAGAGCCCAAGAATCAAGGGGGTTGTCAGAGTTCAGCTTAAATCACAAAAACAAAACATAGCCTAGTAACAAGGCTAACCCAATGCAGACCCCAAGAGATGTGAGATGTGTCATTGTCCTGGTTCACAGATAGCAGTTAGGAGTCTTTCAACTACAGGCCTCACATAAACCACACAGCTGACTTAAAGAATTTGAATAGGGGGTAGGAAAACCCAGCCCAAAGACAATGTGAGAAAGAAGGAGAGAGAGTGAGATGGAGAGAGGGGGGAAGAATCATAAACAGCCGTGCACAAGGGGTGAAAAAATGCTAATCCCATTTCTCAGGACTCCAACACACCCCTAACCTTCTCCAAACGAGAGGAGGGGTGTGTGGTCGACTCAGTGCACACGTACACAGGGCTGGCACAATTAACTACTAATTGTGTACCCAACGATTATGGATGAAGACCATCATGAAAATAAAATAATTGTTAACAAATTAATAATAATACTTTTTTGTTTTGATAGCTGTTCGTTCCACAAAAAGCTGACTAAAGACGGGACAGCCGGGGATTCGTGCGGTTGAATCAGTTTCCGCGGTAACATGGACTCTTTACAAGGTTACTCCTTGCTGAAAGGTTTGTGCTATCCGGTATCCTTAGGACATCTCTAAACCCTAACCCTTACCAATAACCGTCATCCAAAATTCCATGACTGTCACAGCCCTACACGTACACACTAAATATGTTGCAGGGTGAATTGCAAAAGCTCCTCTGATACCACACAATGTCAGTGTTTAGCAGCAGTCAATACATAATGAGCTGGTTGTAATAACAAGCACTGTATGTCATTACACCCTACTCTAGCTTAGCACTTCTTCACAACATACTGAATGAGAGACTAGCTGAGAGGCAACAGATGGCATAAACAACTACATATCAGATCTTGTCTATCTGTACATGCATGTGTATATCAAAGATTAGCTGAGATGCAACAGATGAAGTAAACAGTCACATTGCAGTTCACAGTTTGAGGGGGTGTGTGTGTGTGTGAGAGAGAGTGTGTGTAGGACTGTATCTGTGAGTGTGTGTGTATGTGCAGATGGAATTAAACTATGCTGGGAGCTCTGTTTAAAGTCTCCTCTGACAGACACAGATACTGCAGACCTGATATAATGACTAAAACACCCGTCTGCATCCCTCTCTCCCGCTCTCCTCCCCTCTCCACCTTCTCTGTGTTGGCTGAGGAGGCCAGGGAACCATCACTCAACATTCATCTCCAGTGTTCAGGACATTTTTGGGATGGCTCTGAGGAGCTGGCTGAATCTGCCAGAATGCGTCTGGGAAAGATAGATGTGCACTGTCTAGATTCTAAAAGCACAGCTGTGGTAAATGGCTGTGCTGTCTTTTTTCTATGCTTCTACTCTCATTTAAGCGATGGGTGGTTGTGACTTTGGAATTTAAATGTCATATTTTGTCCTATATTCGCCAGTTTTAAATCTATACAAATCCCTTATGCCCTACAACTCTCACTCCCTATTTTCCATTGCTGGGGAGGAACATGTGTGTGTAGGATAGAGGGAGGGAGAGGGAGGGAGGGAGAGTTTGTTTAGTTTGTGTTACTACAGCAAAAAGCATTCCAAGGGTTTTAAGAACTACCAGATGGTAGCTCGCTCTCCCCCACTCTCTCTATCCCTTCCTCTCCCCCTCTTTCTCACTCTCTCTCTCCATCTCTCCTTCTTCCTCTCTCTTGCGTTGCAGCACAAGCCCTGTGCCCTTATACAGCCATTTGAGTGCAGGCGTGCTGCCTAGCCTGTGCTGAGCACAGAGGAGTGAGTCAACGAGTGTGTCAACGGGAGTTCCACCAAAGCTTCAAGTTCTGTTGTTACCCACATAGCCATTTCCAATACCAAACAGTTATGATTGCTACCTTTTCGACCCCAGCACCTGCAAGAGATGAGCTGAACAAAGAATGGACAGAGACCTTTTTTGAATCAGTCACATGAAAGGAGAAGAGGAATGCAGGCCCCTGATGCAGCCTGCCAATACTGAGGAGGAGGAGAGGAGAGAGGGAGAGGCAGAAAGAGGACAGGGTGCAGGACGGAGTGATAATGCCATTCAAACCAGAGCTCTGCAGGTGGTGCTGCAGTTGACGTAAGACACTGATCTAATGTCAGTTTGGTATTCTATCCACTAATATGACTTGGGGTAGTTGAGCTGATCCTAGATCTGTGGCTAAGGGCAACTTCTACCCAGAGCCAAGCAGAATGGGGTACCAGAGCATGGCTGCAAAGCTCGACAAGTGGTTCGAAAACATGACACCCACAAAATAAGAAACATCTTAAATCAAATCCTTTTGACAATATCCAGGCACAAAGCCAGGTGGAGGAGGACTGACTGAGTGCCAGCTCAGCAGTAGAGTAGTAAGAAGACATGATTCATTGCTATGGGAGTGAGACCCACCACACCACCATACAAAACCCTTTACATTTTAGCAGACACTCTTATCCAGAGTGACGTAGGCCCTTTCTGCATTATGACTAGGGACAGGAGTTTTCGTGGACGGACAAACTAACAATACAATGTTAATAGATTATTATTCAAGATAGTTTTATTTCTACCCCACAATTAACATGCTGCAGTCAAACCACATTTATATTTGATCAACAGGCCTTGACATTTTGGACAGTGAACCAGACCACATTGTGATGGTCCACAAATCAAATGGACCGCAGTTAACTGTTGATAGAACACTGTTCAACCACACCATGGAGGACAGAGCCTGGGAACTGACCTTACACCTCTCCCTCTTCTATCCCTTCATTTATCTTTCTACATCTCCATCCATCTCTCTCAGTTCCTCCCTCCCTCTCTCTATCCACATTTCGTCCTCTATGCAGCTTCCCCATAGGCCACTTCAGGGTAGGGCTGACCTACAACACAGTGACAGGACAGTGACAGACTCTCAGCAGCAGTCTCTATAGAACCAGGCCAGCTAGCGCTGAGCAGAGTGGAGTGGCTAAGTGAAGCAGGCCAGCCCGTGCTGAGCAGAGTGGAGCGGCTAAGTGAATTAGGCCAGCCAGCACTGAGCAGATAGGAGCAGCTAAGTGAACTAGGCCAGCCAGTGCTGAGCAGAGTGGAGTGGCTAAGTGAACCAGGCCAGCCAGTGCTGAGCAGAGTGGAGTGGCTAAGTGAACCAGGCCAGCCAGTGCTGAGCAGAGTGGAGCAGCTAAGTGAACCAGGCCAGCCAGTGCTGAGCAGAGTGGAGCAGCTAAGTGAACCAGGCCAGCCAGCGCTGAGCAGAGTGGAGCAGCTAAGTGAAGCAGGCCAGCCAGCGCTGAGCAGAGAGGAGCGGCTAAGTGAAGCAGGCCAGCCAGCGCTGAGCAGAGAGGAGCAGCTAAGTGAACTAGGCCAGCCAGTGCTGAGCAGAGAGGAGCAGCTAGGTGAAGCAGGCCAGCCAGTGCTGAGCAGAGAGGAGCAGCTAAGTGAACTAGGCCAGCCAGTGCTGAGCAGAGTGGAGCAGCTAGGTGAAGCAGGCCAGCCAGTGCTGAGCAGAGAGGAGCAGCTAAGTGAAGCAGGCCAGCCAGTGCTGAGCAGAAAGGAGCAGCTAAGTGAAGCAGCATGACTGACATAAGCACTAACTGCTCCTCCAGACAGTCCCATTGGTCAGAGCAGACTGCTCCTCTAGACCTTCCCATTGGTCAGAATCTGGTAGAAAGTAAGGCCTTCCTCTGTAACACCTCAGGCTGCCAGGTCAGGTCAGCTCCCACAGTCAGTCATGCACAAGTCAGACGTGATGGCCAACATTTCCTGGCGGTCTCCCTTGGTGGAATGGAAGAGGCTTCAGCCTGCTGTGCGAGTGCTTGAGGGCCCTATAACCGTCACACCCTCGGTGTGCAACACCTCCGCTGTTTCATCATAAGGGAAAGAAATACCTTATTGAAGAGGACAGACTGCAACCATACTTTTAAAGCCAGGACCAGGGAGTGTCTTTACTCTTATATCAAGAGGTCACTAGCTATAATAATAGTGCATCAATCCCAGTCATTAGATTACAGCTAACAACCAACCAGCCCATACTGGGCTTCCCTCTGCAGACAGACAGGGTGGCAGAGATGTGCCCCAACATTTTTTTGTGCTGACTGGGATCTCGCAGTCTCTCCTGTGAGGCAGACGAGCCGCACAACCGTGTAATGGTTGACACCTAGTCCGTCGCCCACTATAGATCCGTTTTACACACCTGACCCAGGTCTGTCCTCTTGGGCTGTATGGGGTAGTAGTACTACGGTCACACAATACCAGCTTTAAAAGAATCAGGAAAAAAAACATTTACTAGATTGGCTCCAAGTATGAAGGATAAACATGGTATTTCATCATCAAAGCTATGAAAACGAAGGAAACGTCGCTCCTTCACTGACTGAGACAAGCCAAATAAACAACATTGTGCAGGAACACAGAGCTGCCAGTGACTCATTGATAGAACTAAGACAGTTCAAAGCTGGAGCAGAGTGAAGGGGAATTCAGTCGTTTTACTACGGTGTTCTGATGAGTCCCACTGCCTGCACCATCTACATGGACTGTGTCTGTGGGCTTGGCTGACTGGCCTCTAGCCAGCTGCTGTGGACATGGGAGAAACACAACATTGCAGTAATAATTGGATTGATCCTCCACTCCAAATATGTGTGTGATTCACATGGCTAGAGAGACTCCAGCTCTGTTACGCATCTGGTAAAAGGGAGAAAGAGAGAGGAAGGGGAGAAGAGAGAAATAATGTGTTTTAATGTTAGCAATGTGTGTTCAGATAGTGTATTTTGTTTGTGAAGGGAAAAAGAGAAAGAGGGAAAGAAAGAGTAGGAAGAGAGAAGAAGAGAGACAGAACTCCCCTGTAGTGGAGGAGTGAACTTGGAGCTTGGTCTGCACCAGGAAACAGCTACTGCGTAACCAAAGAAAAAAAATCCCCTGCCTCCAAATCAATCATTATGAGGAAAGCGAGAGAAAGGGAGAGATAGAGAGGGAAACAGACGAGAGTGGGAGTCAATCTGAATGGTCACTTTCTTGCACAGCTGCAAAGAGAATCCATCTCTCTCCCTCCCTCCCTCTCTACCCGCTCCTTCTCCCTGTCTAACTGCAGTGTCGGCCAGTTGGAAAGGCCTCCAGTCTTCCCTTCCTGGCCCTGCGTATTCCTCATTTCATTCCCCATGCTGTGCAGCTCTCTGTCAGTCACACACACTCACAGGAAATTGTTAAATTGAAAGTCGCCCAGATAATGAAAAATAAAATAGTTCCAGAAGAGGTCACCCTAAGTCAACTGTCCGCATGTATGAAATATGATTGAAAACTTCCCAGAGAGAGAGAGACGCACTGCGTGTACCTTCCCAGCCACTGTAAAAGTCATCGTATGACACACGCCAAGTCAGCCAAGAGTAATTTGTCCCGAATTTCTCCAAAACTAAAATAGATTTATTGCGGCAGAGGTAGACGCATTCCTAATGAGGACTGGGCAGCAGAGGTGAGAGGGGCCTGCTACTAGCCCTGTTCATTTAGTTATTCACCAATCTCTGAATAACACAGTCATCCAGCTTATTTATACTCCATCAAAATGTTATTTGTCCTTTCTCATTTCAAAGAAAAGGAATTCATAGAAGTTCATAGTGGGCCTCTTTTTACCTTTATAAATAAAAGCTCCCGTTTAAAAAAACAAGGTTCCAGTGCTACTTAGAACAGCCAACCATAACAGTACAGCAGCCATAACTCCTGAGCTGTGCCTTCTGAACATGGGCCAGAAAGTGCCTGATGGAGGTTTCATATAGAAAGCCTGCTGCTGTCTTCATTGGAGACAGAGGGCTCTGGTTGGAGCCAACATGGAGGAGTGACAGAGATCTGTGTTACAAGGTCAGGAGGGCATTATGCTCTGGTGTTTGACCTCTAACACTAGCTGACAGGGCCGTAGGTCAGAGATATGGATAGAGGAAGGCTGTCTGCTGACCTCACAGTGCTCGTCAGGGGGCAGGGTCTTGAGGGCTAAATCTAGACAGTAATGTGTGTGTGTGTGTGTGTGTGTGTGTGTGTGTATATATATATATATATGGGAGAGAATATCCATCTCTCTGAATGTTTGAGTCATTCAGGTGCGTTAGATTGATCAACTCTGTTGACTAAACAGGATTCAGACAGTTATTCACAGCACTAGTCCAAGGACAGGTCTAGCAGAGTCAAGGTACCTGAACAGTCCCCTGTCAGGAGAGGAGGTGAAGCGAGCGCTGATTGCTGATA